CCGGGAGCGGTGGCTCACACCTGTAATTCTAGCACTTTGGGAGGCCGAGGCGGGTGGTTCACTTGAGGTCAGAAGTTTGAGATCAGCCTGGCCAACATGGTGAAACCCCATCTCTACTAAAAACACAAAACTTAGCCACGTGTGGTGGTGCAGGCCTGTTATCCCAGCTACTTGGGAAGCTGAGGCAGGAGAACTGCTTGAACCTGGGAGGTGGAGGTTGCAGTGAGCTAAGATTGCACCACTGCAACCTAGCCTGGGTGACAGAGCGAGACTCTCTGTCTCAAAAAAATAAATAAATACACACACACACACACACACACACACACACACACAGACACACACACACAGAATTTTCCATTTTAAGAGAAAACAAACAACATTCTTGAAACTTTGGGGCCCTGTCCCTGCCATTGCAGTAATTGCCTGTTGCTGGAGACAGAAAACCACAGTGGACCTTGAAAAGGAGACCAGCAGATGGTGGGAGGAAAAATCCAGGAAACCTGTGGACTTTTCATGGAAGTGTGATTCAGGAATCAGGCAGAAGCCCTCACAAACCTTCCACAGAGCAAGAGGTGGCGCAGGCACAGATTCTGCTACAGAGCAGACCTTTCTGGAGAGGAAGGTTGGTCTGGGAATTTTAAGAAGCATTTTTATTTGCATAATGCAACACCAGGCGTCTGTTGGTAGAAAATGGCTTTGTGAACCATCACGTTCAAGAGAGAGACAGAAGTGTCGGGGTTCTAGGCAGCCAAGGGCAGACTAGCCCATTGCCTGGCATTTGGCTTGGTTGTCTGATGAATTAAGATTTGCTCTGCTCCTCTGTGCACGCCAGGATATTAAGATGTGAGAGTAAGAACTTCTAGCCTGTATATTTGCCATCTAATTAGTGCCTTGGGTCCTAAGTGCTTTGTGCCGAGGTGGTTTTCCTGCACTCGGGGCTGGTCCAAGGGCTCTACTCATGAGCCCCATGAGCACAGGATCCAGCGCGTGTACAGTGCACCAGGAAAAGGGTACGCTGGAGGGAGAACTGAGCTGCTTTGTTTTGGAGGATTGGGCAGGTGTTGCCAAGCGAAGGGTCCTGGAAGTGGTCTCTGAAGAATGCAGAGTGGACCAAGTGACCGAGGGTGGGGGCCACAGACTGCATGGGCAGAGGACCTGGACATGGGGAGACGGAAAGTAATTGGATGGGAATAAAAGGTGATGTGCCCTCGAGGCAGGAGATATAAAGACCGGAGCACGAAGCACAGCTCAAGGATTAGATGGATAAGTGGAATGTCAGGCGGCGGGGCTGATACTGTCAAACAGGGGATGTCTCCAGTTTATTTCCTTTCTTTCTTTTTGTTTGTTTGTTTGTTTGTTTGTTTCTGAGCTGGAATCTTGCTCTGTCACCTAGGCTGGAGTGCAGTGGCACCATCTCAGCTCACTGCAACCTCCACCTCCTGGGTTCAAGCAATTCTCCTACCTCAGCTTCCTGAGTAGCTGGGACTACAGGCGTGTGCCATGGTACCCAGCTAATTTTTGTATTTTAAATAGAGTTGAGGTTTCACCGTGTTGGCCAGGCTGTTCTCAAACTCCTGACCTCAGATGATCTGTCTGCCTCGGCCTCCCAAAGTGTTGGGATTACAGGCGTGAGCCACCGCGCCTGGCCAGTGTCACCAATTTCTTTAATTTGCCTGTGGCTGAGCTGGCTCTGGGAGCCCCAGTTTGAGAGAGACAGAGAGAGAGAGAGAGAGAGAGAGAGAGAGAGAAAGAGAGAGAGCAAGAGAAAAAGAGAGAGAGAGAGAGAGAGAGAGTGTGTGTGTGTGTGTGTGTGTGTGTGTGTGTGTGTGTGTGTTGGGAGGTGGCATGGGGAGATATGGGGTGGGAAACAGGGAGCGAGGATTTCTAGCCTCTTCTAGAAGGAGCTGCCCCTCTCTGGGGACAGGGCAGCGTCTGGGTCCCTGCCGATTGCTGAGCAGGCAGCGCAGCTTTGTCATGAGGACACTTTGCTTTCTGCTTAGCTGGCAAGAGCCACCGGCTGGCCTGGTGAACTCCTCCTCTCTCTACTTCTGCGTTTTCACTTGGTAAATGAGGGTAAAGATATTTCTCCATCTCTCCGGAGACTGTGAAGTTTAATTACTGATTAATAAAATGTTGGAAGTTCCTTGAGGCCAGAGAAATAAATTAGTTTGTTTTCATCACTCCTAAGTCCCAGGATCGAGTTGGCTAACCCCAGTGCCATCTTGCTGAGTGTCCCGTGTACAGAGCACAGGATGGGGGTGCAGGGCTGGGGTTGTGCTTCAGAACCTGGAGCTTGGTCCAGGGCAGAGAGATCCCTACGAGAATGCCAGCAAGTGAACTGAGTGGACAAAGCCACTACAAACTCAGTCACCACAGACTCAGGGGACCATGTGGGTGAGTCATGGGTGGGGGGACCAGGCTCTGACCAGGAGTGGGCCCTATTCCCCTGGACCTTGGAATGTGGGTGGGAGAGAGGGGAGCAGAGTCTGCCTTTATCATCAGGACAGCAGTGGGAGGGAGTGGGTGCCATGAAAGGGGTGGCCCTGGTGGGGTGGGGTAGGGTGGGGTGGGGTGGGGTGGGATAAGGGAGAACATTCCCGGCAGGTGAACATGGAAAATGGAGTCAGTTTGCTTCTAAGGACTGGGGGAAGGTCCCGAGATCCTAAAGGGGCCAGTGAAGAGGGGTCCAGGGAAGAGAGGATGGACAGCCCTGGAGGGTACGGGACAGGCAATGATGGAGGGATGGAGTCTGGCTTGGGCAGATGGAAGACTGCGCATGAGCAGGGCCCACCTGCCGTGAAGCAAGTGAAGCATTTCCTCAAGCCCACCCATGAGAGGAGGTGCCAGCAACCTCAGTAATCATGATAGATATATCTTTTTTGAGTCTTTCTCTGCAGGCTGGAGTGCAGTGGCATGATCTCGACTCACTGCAACCTCAACCTCCCGGGTTCAAGCGGTTCTCCTGCCTCAGCCTCTCAGTAGTTGGGATTACAGGTGCGCACCACCACACCCGGCTAATTTTTGTATTTTTAATACAGATGGGGTTTCACCATGTTGGCCAGGCTGGTCTTGAACTCCTGACCTCAAGTGATCCACCCACCTCAGCCTCCCAAAGTGCTGGGATTAAAGGCTTGAGTCACTGCACTCAGCCATGATAGTAATATTTTAATATCATTGCTGGCCTTTCCCCCTTTTATCCCAAACTACTGCAAGGCCCAGCACTGTTACTGAGCCCATGTTTCCTTTAAAAAGTTTTTGATAATTTGCTCGATGTATTTTCTATTGTTAATTTTGATTTAAAATATAATTATGTGAAAATATTCCATATCTTGACTACTACGTTTTTTGATGCTCCCTTCGCTTTTGCTCTCACCACGTGGAGTCCCAGCCCCTCGCAGGAAGGCTGCGTGCTGCCTGGGCTGGCCACCACCCTGCTTCTAGCCTACACCCTAGCCTAGCAGCTTGCTCACTGAGGGACAAGCCCCTACCTCTCTCCCAATCTCATTTTCCTGCTGTGAAATCCTAAGCCGGCTTCCAGAGCTAAGGGTCTATAGTGAAATCTGCAGTTGGTATAGAAAGGGGCTGGGGCTGAGACACCTGGCCATGGGGTCAGAGGGCCTCAAAAGGAGGGGACCCCCAAGAAGAAACAGCAGAGAAGTGAAGGTGGTGATGAGGAGAGTGGCCTCCCCTGAGGCCTTTCAGGCTTTGGGCTCACCATCCTGTCTGGGAACTCCGCTGGTAACCCGGCACCCAGCTCCCCGCAGACAGAGGGGAGGGCCAGTTACAACGCTTCCCTCTCCCTGCTCCTCACTCATGCTTCTTAACCCCTTTTGAATCAAATCCCAGGGGAAATAGCCATCTCTCCTCCAACAACTAAATAAAAACCACCAAGTTCAGATCAGTCAACGTCTCCTTCTTGAGTGCCTATTGTATACCAGAAACACAATCTGTCATTCATTTCTTCAGCAAATTTGAGTGCAATGAACAAAAGAAAATCCCTACCCTCACAGAGCATGCAGTGCTGTGAGTACTTCTACATACATACGTCATGTAAGCTTGAAAGGAGGTGGGACAGTTATGCCCATTTTTACGGATAAGGACGCAGAGAGGTCAAGTAACCTGTGCATGGCAACACAGTGAAATGGGGCCCTGGACACTCGGTCTCTCTCAACTCTAACCCTATAGGGAGGCGGGTGATGTGATGGTTGTGGGTGGGTTTAGTGGGAGACGGGGCGGCCCTCCAGGTATAGGGCCTATACCACTCCCCTCCCACATGGGCTGAAATTCTGCAATCAGAGTGACATGGAGCCTTCAGGGAGGTTGAAGGGCAAAGGTCTTCCCTAGAATAGGGCATCCATCTTTCCAGACACATTTATCCCTTAACCTCTCTGTGCCTCAGTTTCCTCATCTGCAAATAGGCACAGCCACACCAGCCCCAGGGAAAATTTAGTGCCGAAGCAGATGTCCAAGGGCATGATCAATGATGAGGCACAATCTGTGATGATGGAAAGTTAGGCAGGTGGGGATGAGGGCCGAGGAAGCTGTTCACAAAACTAGAGGCCAGCTCTGGAGGAAGGGAGGGAAGTGGGTGCACCTATGGGGATCAGTGAAGCCGTGATGCTCCACGGGCCGCTGAGGGTGTGGGGCGTGCAGAGGTGTATGTGGAGGTACACTGTTGGACCATGCTCAGGATCCCATGCGGATGGAGGGGGCTTCCTCTGGCAGCGCTCTAGTCCCTAGGGGCAAAATTCACCTCTTCCCTAGGAGCCTGGGTTCCTGTTCCTGTCAGATTCCCTGCCAGGCCCCTCCACGAACACGGCAACTCCAGACCTTCCAGGCAAAGAGGACCCGGAGGGAGGGGAGAGGAGATGAGGGGCGGGTGTCTGGGAAGCAAGTGGTTGGGTAATGGGTGGGAGGGGGAGCAGGCAGCTGCAGGCCGGACAGACGGCTCATGGCTCATGGCCCCTGCCTAAGGTGTCCTTCACCTCCTGTGTCCGCAGGCCCTTCTCCTTCTGGGGCTGAACCCCATCTCCGCCTCCCTCCAAGACCAGCACTGCGAGAGCCTGTCCCTGGCCAGCAACATCTCAGGTGAGTCCCTTCAACCCCCTCCTGCAAGATTTCTGGTCGCCACAATGCCACCACCCCAGGTCTCCCGGGACCTGCACACAGAACCATGCCCTAAGGCAGGATTTGCGGAGTCTCATCCTCTCCAGGGCTCCAAGCAATTCTTCAGTCTCCGCAGAGCGCCATGTTGAGAAGGATCCCGCAGTTGGGTGTAAGGTTGGTGGGAAGGAGCTGCAGTTGGTTAGTAGCACCTGTGAACCCAGGAGGAGCTTGCAGCAAGGATTCTGAGTAGCTATCTTCCCTGCTTCAGGATGGGCACAGCTAAAGACACCCCAGCCCTCGCTGCTGAGCTGTGACTCGGGGAGGCATCAGGGGAGGAAGAAAGGCTGCCACAGTCTGCGGCTAAAGCTGCCCAGAGTGTAAAACTTGCAGTTTTACACGTGCCAACACGTGCCAGGCACGGATCAAGGACTGGGGCTATATTAACCCAATTTGCACAATGTCTCTCTAAAGTAGGTGCTGTTGTCCCTATTTTACACATAAGAAAACGGAGGCGCAGAGAACCAGGAAGCGCCGGAGCCCTGAGTGGAGCCCGGCAGCCTGGCTTCCGGTTGTGGTAACAGCGTGCTCTGTCCCTCTCCAGTAGAAAAGACAGCATGGCTGCAAATATCACCAGGGTCTGCATCACTTTACCGTAAACAGAGTGCTTTTGCATAGTCATCTTATTTCGTCCTCACAAGAGTTTAAAGCCCGACATTTGTATGGTTGAGGAAACTGAGGCACGGAAGAGTTACATAACCCCCATGGTACCACACAGCCAGTACATGGCAGTGACTGGGACCCAAATCTAGGTCTCTGGGCTCCAAAGAGCATGTCTTTTAAAACTGTGGGTGTGGTCCTGGGCATGGCTGCTGCCGGGCAAAAATGGAGAGGGTCCCTGCACCTGAGGGTATTTAGGAGGCTTGTGGACCTTCCATTTAAGTCTTTGAGCCTCTCCTTGATTCACACCAACTCTTTCATGAAGCACCTACTACACAGCAGGCCCCGTGCAGGGCACTGGGGGAAACAAGAGGGGCTCACAGTCTTGTCCAGGAGTCGAGTCCACAAATGCATGTGCCAAGAGGCAGAGAGCAAGACGCATGCTAGCGGAGAGCAGACAAGTGTCTGCAGGAAGGCAGGAGGCATTCGTTCCTGAAGCTGGCTCTGTGGGGACAGGAGGCCTCCACAGCTCGGGGCAGCTGCTTCCTGGCCAGCTGTGCCTTCACTAGGGAGAGCCTGGTGGCAGAGAAACAAGCCCTGGACTTGCAGAAGGCATACTGGGTTCCTGTGCTGGCTCAGAGAAGGTGCCTGGTCAGGCCTGCCTGGAGCGGGTACTGGTAGCCACAGGGATGGAGCATACCCTCAACTGCCCTTGCACCTCACTTTACCCAGGTATAGAGGGGTAAGGGGGCTGTTACCTGCCCCAAGGATCTCTTATGAGATTCAATGAGATTCAATTCGTAAGTTTTATGGCAATATTTCACAAACTGTAAACCGTACGGTGTCATGCCAATACTAGGTTTGGTTTGGTTTTGTTTTGTAAGAGATGGGGTCTCACTCTGTCACCTAGGCTGAAGTGCAGTGGTGCAATCATAACTTACTGCAGCCTCGATCTTCTGGGCTCAAGAAATCCTCCCATCTTGGCCTCCTGAGCAGCTAGGATTACATGTGCACACCACCACATCTGGCAATTCTTAAAAATTGTTTTGTAGAGACAGGGTCTCTGTTGCCCAGGCTGGGGTGCAGTGGCATAATCAGAGCTCACTGCAGCCCAGAGGCTCAAGTGATCCTCCTGTCTCAGCCTCAGCAGGCTTTTAAAAGGCTTACTATATAGCTGGAATGAAGGGAAGGAACTTGCCAGTGATTACTCATAATGATGGAGGGAGCAGGGAGGCTAGGCAGGGGTGGTGCAAATCCAGAGAGGCTTCCTGAAGGAGTTTCAAGGTGAATATTAAGAGACACTCTTAGTATAAACTGGCAGGAAAGAGCCAGAGCTGTGAGCTACAGCAAGAGATGAGCAAGGACCAGTAGTTGGGTTTGTCGGAAGGACCAGGGAGGAGTGAGGAGGGAGGAATGGGAATCCTGAGAAGGTACAGGGAGCCCTCAGCATCTGGCTGCAAAGTTGGTTCAGCTGTGATGGGGAATGGGGAAGTAAGTCCTTGAGCAGGAGTCTGGAGTTCTAGGAGAGAGAGATGAGGAGGGAGGGGGCCTGCTCAGAGGCTGGGCCAGAGAAGAAAAGCTCTATTCCCCAGCCCGCCAGCCCTTAGGCCAGGTCAGGCTCTATCAACTGTTTGTTATGTCAGGAGTGACATCCCTGAGCCCACAAAGGTGTCACTTGTCCTTGCAGGTAGCAGGCCATGATGAATAGCATTCATTCCACGGTGATTTGTACCTCGTGCCCGCACCTCCAGCCCAGCCTGCCTGGCTGCATGGTACGCAATCCATCACCCTCCACAATGGCCTCTGATAACGGGCCATTTATCTTCTGACTTGGAGACCTACCCAGACCGACGGGCACTGGTAGAGACAGATGGTGAGGGTGGGGCGGAGGGGCCGAGACAGATGGATAGGCGTCTGGCTGGGGCGGCTGGCACGGAGCCAGGGTCTTTGGGGGGCCTTTCATGTGCCTCATGCCAAGAGCTGGGAGAGGAGTGGGTCCCCAGGGCTGAGGCCCATCATGTGGCAGGCCATAGACTTGGCAACTCATAAAATCATGGCATGAGTGTAACAATGCCAGGAAAAAATAGAATTATTTACTAGTGACATCACAGATGAATAGAATCAGAGTTGACAATTACCTGGGGTCATCAGTTCTATCTCTGGTCTTAAGGCAGTGAAGGATAATAATAATTAGCTAGGCTGGGCATGGTGGCTCACACCTGTAATCCCAGCACTTTGGGAGGCCAAGGTGGGCAGATCACTTGAGGTAAGGAGATCTAGACCTGCCTAGCCAACATGGTGAAACACTGTCTCTATTAAAAATAAAAAATAAAACAATTAGCTGGGCATGGTGGCACACGCCTCTAATCCCAGTTAGTCAGGAGGCTGAGGCACGAGAATCTCCTGAGCCCAGGAGGCTGAGGTTGCAATGAGCCGAGATTGCACCACTGTACTCCAGCCTGGGTGACAGAGGGAGACTCTGTCCCAAATAGTAATAATAAGGGTTAATATTTATTTAGTGCCCGATATGTGTTGGGTATCATTTCAAGTGCTTTAATCTCATTCAATCATACAATACTATAGTCAGGAAATACTTTTATCCACATTTTACAGTAGAGGAAGTTAAGGCTCAGAGAAGTTAAACAAGTTGCCCAAACCCACTAAGCAGTGGCTGCAAGATATAAACCATGTGGGCCTGGGTTCAGATTTTACTATCGGCACCACGTTATGTGGCCACTCAGAACCAGGGTGCTCAGAGCCCAGTGTGGTCAGCAGTCTAGGGCTACAGTGTTACCCCTGCAGTTTTCCATATCCACACTGGGTTTGCACATGGCCCCATATTCTCCTCTGTGCCTCTTATATGCCTGGCACTGTACTAGCTACTGGGAAGGAAAATTGAAGAGCCCACAAACCACAGGGCAAGAGGGCCATCCACTTGTTCTGATGGGTCACCCACCCTACACAGGCATCTTTCTTCTCTGCCCAGCCAAAGAGAAGGCAGCTCTACCATGAAATGGCCGAGCAAAGACCAGGATTCTCTGCCCCCCTCTCCATGCCAGGTGGTCCAGGCACGGGCCCTGCCCATTCATCCCACAGCACATTCCTCTGACTGGGCAAGAATGTGTGTTTCACAGGCTGCCCTTGGGCCACCTGGCTGCTTCCCCTCTGGACAGCCTGGGCTGAGTCCCCGCTCCTGGGTTTCAGCCAAATAGGGGGGAAGGGCTTCCCAGCCACAGGGCTGCTGCCAAGTGCCCACCTCCAGAAGCCACTGATGAGAGAGCCAGCATAACTGGGGCAGAGCCAGGCTCCAGCTTCCCTCTGAAGTTATCCACCATGGGTGGATCTGCCAAGCACATGTGGCCCCTGAGCCTGATGGGAGAGAAACTGTGTAACCTACTTGGGGAAAGAAGCCAGTGCCTGATCGTACACAGCATTAAATAGGCCATGTTCAAAGGGTTCTTACCTGTTCATTAAAGCAGGCCTCCCAGGACTCTGCCCTGGCAGGGTTTCTTCCCCAGCAGGTGGGAGCCCTCCACACTGCCCCCTCTCCTCAGCTCTCCTTTTGCAGGGATTTGAGGCACTCTGACCAGGGTGCGGTCCTCATGCATTTGTTCTGTGCATGTGTGGGGAAGGGGGAAGGTATAGGGCCGGTTTTTGCGTTACTTTAGCCCGCTTGACTCCTCCCAGCCCAGCCCCCACCTGAAAGCCTGTGGTGACCAGGGCTGGTGAGTGGGCTGGTTCCACTCCCACATCTCCAACCAGGAAAGACCCTGAAGGCATCTACCTGCCCCGTGAATGAGAGAGTGAGCCACGGAGAGACAGGACGTTGACACGTCAGACACAGAAGCACACACCTGCTCTGGGGCTCTTGCACTTGCAGCTGCCTCTGCTGAGAACACTTCCCACCCCACCCCCGCCAGGTTCTCACCCTTGCTTCCTTTCAGTCTCTGCCTAAATGGTAGCACTTTAGAAGCCACCACCCTTGACAAGATGGTGCCCTTGTCAGCCTTTATTTCTTCGCACTGCTTAGTTTTTCTCCATAGTATTTCTCACTGGTTAACAGAACTGTGTGTGTGAGTGTGAGTGTGTGTGTTTGCTGTCTCCCCACTAGAATGTAAGCACCACGAGGGCGGGGCATTTATTTTATTCATTATTACATCCCAAGCCCCTTGAACATTTCTTAGGTAGTCAGTAAATAACAGCTGTCTCTTAGTATCCATGGGGGACTGGTTCCAGAACTCCCCATGGATATCAAAACGCAGGGATGAGCAAGTCACTGATAGAAAATGGAGAGTATTTGCATGTAACCTATGCACATCCTCCTGGATACTTTAAATCATCTCTAGATTATTTCTAATACCTAATACAATGTAAATGTCATGTAAACATAAATAGTTGATCCACTGTCCTGTTTAGGGAATAACGACAAGTAAAAAGTCTGTACATGTTCAATACACTTTTCCCCAAAGCTTATGGCTATGGAGAACCGACTGTACTTGTTAAAGAGCAAAGTCATCATTACTTAACTGACCAGGAGAGGCGCTGCGGGACAGGGAGCTGTCCGGAGGCGCTGGCTCCTAACAACACCTCTGCCTTTGTACAGCTGGCTGGTAAACTGGCTTGGCTATTTGCAAGGTTGGCTTACTCTGGACCAAATTGCTCGTCATCCCAGGACTATGACATCTGGGTGGGAAAATACCTCCACCTATTGGGAGCAGAAGAGGTCAGGCTTTTTGGCATTGGGACCTGGAGGGAGGGGACACTGGCCCAAGAATCAGAGTCCAACAGGTCCTTGAGGTCCTTACAGCCACCAAGCTGAGTGACACAGAACTGATTTCCTGCTTCTCCTCTTCCCAACTAGGGGCTAGACACCCTCTCTGTCCCCAGCACCCGTGAAATGATCTTTCTGTGTGCCTGTCCCCCGACTCTCTGCCTGCCTCTCCCTATTTCTTCCTTAGTGTCTTCTCCCTCTTCTTTCCTCTCTCTCCCTACCTCTCTCCTGGCCCACTTGGCCTCCCACCTCCCTCCTCCTCCATCTGTTTTCTTCTCCTCGGTGTAGTCGGGTGGCTTAAATGAGTGGCATGAATTGCATCATGCAAAGCACCCTCCGCAGTGCCTGGTATATATTATAGTAGTGTCCAACAAATGCTCCCCCTCAAGTCCTATGCACCATTTTTCTTCTGAGGCCTTATCTCTGCTGGATCCAAGGGATCTCTACTGTCCTCCCTCCTGACCCTGTGTCTGCAGGACGGCCCTCTGAAATCTAGTGTGGGAGCTGCCAACAACCCGAGGCAGAGCACGTTGTGGGAAGGCACTGAGCCCACAAGGCAGTCCCGGGCTGGGAAGTCCAATGGACAGTGCCTTCTGGCCAGGAGTGTGGCGCCTGAGGCCCTGTCCTGCTGCCTCCTCCCTGCCCTTGGCCTCTAGGTCCCCTCCCTTCTTCCTCTATACTTCCTTTGCTCCTTTCTTCTCTCCAGCCTCCCTCTCCTCCATCTGCTCCCCAAAAACACTTGGCCAACCCTAGTGCACCTCTTGCAGGTGTTGCCTTGGGGAGCCGAATCGCCGCTCCTGATTGGCCCTCGAGCTTATGACCACGCCCTGTTTGGCCACGCCCCCTCCAGCCCCCGCCCCTCCAGCCCTAGACCCTGGCGGTCTTGCCGACCTTTCACTAGTCCCTTTTCATTTGGCTTCTCCCCGTTCTTGCAGCCTCTCCCTCCCTTTCTTTCCGTCTCACACTGACTTTCAATTCCTTCCAGGATTTTCTGGGCCCTTAACGTAAAGGTCGCGTCCGCTGCTGTGTCTCCAGCGCCGCCCCCGCCACGCATCCTTATGGGCCGCAGGGGCCAGGAGGGAGGGGGAGGCGCGGTGCTGCTGCGGTGCCGGAGTCACCGAGTCGGGGCGCAGCTCTACGCTCGAGGGGCAGCTGCCTAGATCGGTGCCAGCTGTGCAGCTGTGGGCATCGCCCTGAGCTGGCATCAAAAGGCGAGCATTGAAAATCCACTCCCGTCTCAGTATCTTTGGGTACTGATTGTCTTGGAATAAGCCCTTTGACCGCTTTGGCCTGTTTTCTTATCTGTAAAACAGAGAGAATTAGCACCCACGGTGGCATGGGAGGTGGTTGGGCACCGTACCATGGAGGAGGGGCAAATGGCTTCTGACCTGCTCACCCGTTGAGGGTCTCCACGTCCCGGGCCAGCTGTGGAAAGGGTCAGGCCTTTGGTGAGAGCCCTTAGAGCTGCCAGCAGAGGCCGGTGCATGTCCTCCAGGCCGGGAGGCCCATCCTGAGTGGCCCACTTCTGCCTTGGCTCTGGCCTGGTCCTGGCTGCGACTGGTGCCCGGTCCTTCCCTGCCCTCCATGCCTTCCAAAAGCAGATCTGGGGGGCTGGCAGGGGAAGGGAAGAAGGGAGGGCAGGTGCCAAACTGACAGAGAGGTTGTGTTCTGTGCATTCATTCCAGATGTGTCACATGGAGCATCCCGTTTAAGCCTAGCTCACTAGATTCTGTAGATGAATGAGTGAGGAGTGAATGAGCAAGCTAGGAAGGTACAATGGTGCCATTAAATAAGGTAGCATATGTCATCCGCCTGACATTGCACACGGTCAGCCCTCAGCAAACGCTGCTCCCTTCCTGCTGCCCCCTTAACTGTCCCTCACCCCCTGTGATTGACTCACACTGTGGTGTAATGGAAAGAGCGCTAGATTTAGAGTCCAAAATACCTGCCTATGAATCTTGGTTCTTTCACCCATTGACCTGTGACCTTGGAAAAGTCACCTAACTTCCCTGGGCCTCAATTTCTTCATCTATAAAAAGGAAATAATGACATTGCCGGATGTATGAAGATCAAACAAAATAGATGAAGAACTTTGAAACAGCAGGGCATGGCTCCTAATATGCTCCTCCCCTCTCCACGGCCACATTCTCCCGCTCTACCCCATCCCCTGGCTCAGCAGCGTCAGCAGGTCCCGGGACAGGTTAAAATACCAACCTGGCACGCCCTTGCCTCGGATGGCCTTGCTTTGTCACCTCGGCTTCCATTGCCGCTGTGTGATGACATTCACAGACTCCGCTGTGGCCCAGCACCTGGGTTTGGCCCACTCCAGCAGGCTGGCCCGAAGTCACCTCCTGTCCATTAAGCCCCAATCCAGATTTCTTTCTCTTTCAATTAAGCCACTTGGCCTGAAGGTCTCTGCCCCTTGAGTCCTGATTTGCACAAATGCCCTATGAATAGCTTTGATTAGAAAGAAAAGCCAGCATTTGGTACAAGTGCTGCTCAGCACTGCCCTGAGTCCAGCAGGGAAAGGCAGCCAATTTAACCCAGCACTGCTTCCTGAGAGATTGGGGACAAGCTAATTTGGGGAGAAGATAGCAGGCAGGCCCCAGCCAGGGCTTGGCAGCTGCTAAGGCCTCAGCCCAAGCCTGAAGAGGCTGCCCCGATCCACACGTGTTCATGGTTCATGGCCCCCTCTGGCTTGTCCGTCCACTCTTGTGCCAATTCTAGGTTATTGACCTGGGGACACTGGGGCTCAAAAGGACTGGTGTGCCAGCCTTACTCAGAGGGAGGCACTAAAAGGCAGAGAAAGAAGGGGCGGCCTCAGGGGGGTGATGAGACTGTGCCAGCCCCATCTCCTGGAGGCCATATCCCCCTCCCCTCCTGAAGTGTCACTGGGGCCTCAACTCTGCCCCAACATCATACACCTCTCCTCTCTGCTTGTCTCTGTCTCTCTTTCTCTCCCCAACCCCCTCCAAAAAGCAAATATTTAGAAGGGGCCTTTGACATCCTCTTTCTGGTTTGATTTTTTTATATCTCTTTGAGTCACAGACCCCTTTGAGAATCTAATGAAAGCCATGGGCCCCTTTCCCTGTTAACATGAATGTATACACCAATATTTTCATTACGTTCAAGGTCTCTGGGAACTGTTGAGGTTTCTAGTGAGCTGAGATTAAGAATTTCTGATCTGGTTCAACCACTATTTTGTTACAGAGGAAGATAATACACTAAGGCCCAGAGAGGGCAAATGACTCGCCTACAGTCACACAGCAAATTAGTGGCACGGCCCATTCTGAAGCTGTTGGGCCAGACTCCCAGTTCAGTGCCCTTTCCACTCCCCCAGTTGGCGTCTCCCTCGTTTCCCCTCCGTAGCTCACTTCTCCATCAGTCCTGTCTTAGGGCCCGGCACGGAACAAAGTACACACAATGTATGGTCAGTCAGCGTGGTTAGCAGGCCAGCTGGAGGAAGGGCCAGCTTCATTTAGCTGGTTCTTCCCGGCAGGTCCAGGGTAGAGGGTTTGATTGCAGAGACATGTGAAGGGCTGGATCAGTGGTTGGCTGGGCCTACCTATTCCAGAGTGTTCCTATGACATTTCAGAGCTCCAGGCTGTCACCCTGTGAGGGGCCAAGAGAAGTGTCCTCAGGCTGCAGAGCAGGGGACCTGAAGCATGCCCAGGCTTCCTCTAAATGCCAGGACCTTCGCTTTTAACACCACCTCCAGCCATCTCTGCTCCTCCTCTGCTCTGGAACCTATCCTGGCTCCCTAGTATCATAGCATCAGATTTAGATTTCTTCCCCTAATGTCTTCTCTGCATAGGATGAGCTCTTTTCTGCACTGAGGTCATTGCTGTCATCCTGTCCCTCGTTGGTGTGTGAGTGGGAACCACCGGGGAGGTGGGCAGGACTCTGGAACGTCCTCTGCCTGCCTGGGGCCTTGGCTGGGGATCTTGCTGTGCCTCACCAGCCGTCTCTGTCCCCAGGACTGCAGTGCAACGCATCCGTGGACCTCATTGGCACCTGCTGGCCCCGCAGCCCCGCAGGGCAGCTAGTGGTTCGGCCCTGCCCGGCCTTTTTCTACGGTGTCCGCTACAACACCACAAGTAAGGGAGAAGTTGGAGGGTGGGCCATCTGCTGGGAGGTGGGACAGGATGGGGAGAGCTTGGAGGTGGGGGAAGTAAGGGTGATGATGACAATTACGGCGATACCTCTTGTGGGGATAGCCCCTGTTTTCCAGAGGTCAGTGCTTTGTTCTCCCGGGTATCCTGTTCTCATTACTGGTGATTCTCACAAGACCCCTGCAAGACACTGTCACGCCTTCTATAAGGCCCCCGGGGCTCAGGGAGGTTAGGGAGCTTGCCCCGTCACCAGCCGGTGAAGGGTGAAAATGGAATTTGCATCCACATCTGTCTGGCACTTTCTGCTGCCGTTAAACTTCACGTTAGCCTGTTTGAGCCTACCGTAATACCATGAGGCAGGGCAGAAGTCATCAGAGCTCCAGCTGTGTGGGTAAGAACCCTGAGTCGAGAGGTTCTGAGGCTACCCCAGGCCCTCCAGCCAGGAGGCAGGGGACACACAGTTTTAGATGCACAGGCAGAGGCTCGACTCCGTAGGCGGGATGGGGACAGGACGGGATGGACCCAGGGTCCATCGGATACTTGATCCTCATGTAAACACCTGGCTCCCTGGAGGCCTGGAACCCCCACGGCCAGGCTTTGCAGCTCCCTGCTATTCTGCTTGCCACTCTCAGAATTAATTTGTTCTCCCCTGTCAATGACTCAGGTCCCTGCTTTCAAGAGAGCAACAGCTGCGGGCCAGGAGCCCTAACCTACCCAAGGGGAGGGTGGGGTCCAGATCCCTGCAATTGGGGCCCCCTGTGTACACCCTTGGATCCTGGTGGTCTTGAACTCAGAGCCCCAAGAGGGCACAGAGGTGACCGCTGACACCAGGTAGTTTACTCCAAGACGCACTGTGTGACCGCCCAGCACATTTTTCCCCCTTGTGGCCCTCCAGCCCCTCATCTGCGGATGGAGAGGGCTGATGGCTTGGCTTCTAAGATGTCTTCCAGCTCAAAACTCCAAATTGTTCTCCTGCCCTCTTTCCTCTACCAGATGGATTAAGGGGGTTAAGGTTGGGGGCCACCTCAGAGGAGTGGGAAGACACAGCCAGGGAGTGACTCCCCAGGGAGTGACCTGGGAGGCCAGGGCAGGGCAGGAGGCTGGAGCAGCCAGATCAAGCAGCCACCTGTGTCTGTACCATGTCCTGGCCAGGGGAGGGACCCAGGAGAGGGAGGAGAGATGCTGGGAGGGGCATGGAGACCCAGGAGAGGAGGTACAAAAAAGAAGAAGAGGAGAAGGGCCTCTTGGCCAGGTCAGTCCAAGGAGGGCACAGTTGGCCAGCCCCCAATATTAGTCAGGCCCATTTTATAATAAAGAAATTGGGGCACAGAGAGGCTAATAACCTATTGGAGATCATAGAGCAGGCGTCCCCAAACTTTTTACACAGGGAGCCAGTTCACTGTCCCTCAGACCATTGGAGGGCCGCCACATACTGTGCTCCTCTCACTGACCACCAATGAAAGAGGTGCCCCTTCCTGAAGTACGGCGGGGGGCCGGATAAATGGCCTCAGGGGACCGCGTGCCACCCGCGGGGCCGTAGTTTGGGGACGCCTGTCATAGAGCCTGGAGGCAGGGTCACAACCCAGGGATGAGAGCTCTCATGATGCTGGGGGCTGAGTCCTTCCAGAGTCCCTAGGAAGGAGGCATCATCTGCGCATCAGAGGGACTTCCTGGAGGAGGCATCGGTTCCCGTCATTTCCACTTCCAGAGTGATTCTTGTGCCTGGCCCTTCCTGCCCTCATTCCCCAGTGCGACCGCCCAGCCTCAGGTTTCAGATCTGAGTCGGTCACTCCCTCACTTGGAGTTTACCCTTCTGTGGCCTCTGAGGTCAAGCCCAAGCTCCTGGGTGGGGCCTGCCAAGCGCTCTGTGGTCATGGCCCTGTCGCCCTTTGCAGCCAACCCTGGCCACCCCCCATGAGCTCCCTCTACTCCCATTCCAAAGGCTTACTTGACATGCCCCAAATAAGCATTTTAACCTCAGGGCCTGGGCGCACACTTCCCCACTTGCAGTCCTGCCTGAGGTGGCAGCCAGGAGTTCTACCTTCTCATCCCCGCTGCAACTGCAGCTGGCTGAGGAGCCCTTTTATAGGCCCCCTCCGGGCCTCAGATTCTCCACCTGCAGAATGGGCGGGAGGGTTGGGTGTGGTGCTCTCTAGGCTCCCCCACACTTCCCTCTGTGATCCCAGGAAAGAGCTGGGGTGATGGCCCCTTGACATGGGGTTGGTCTGTCAGGGCAGGGCTGGAAGACCCCTTTCCAGGTGCCCCTGGCGCCAGATGAGGCGGAGCACACCCAGGCAATCAGTCGCAAGTGGGTGCCCAGAGCTGCACCTCATCATTAGGCACTAATTAATCCATTTACTGATGAGTTGCTGCCAGGACTTCTAGGCCTTCTCCTTAATGCCCTCCCTCCTGCTGCATCCGATCTTCAAAGGGACGGGAAGCATTTCCAAAAATATCCATTTTCCCGTGATTCTTCGGGAGGACTGCTCAGCTCAGCAATTAAAGATGAGGTCGCATCTTCCCTGGCAACCGTTCCCCGCTTGTTGGGCCTGCTTGCTTTCGGATCAGCTCCTTTCTCCCCATCAAAGCCTGCTCCATCTGGGTGGCCCAGCCTTGGGCGGGACTCCTGGCTCTCCCCCACATGCCAAGGGGAGTAAGGGTGTCAAGCAAAGGGGGCACCTCCCACGACATCCACCAGTACTCTTTGATGGGGACAAGTGACACGTTCTGAGTCTCGTGTAAGGTTATATAAATACAGCTCCAAGACAATAATAATAAAAATAACAGCCAACATCACATGCCAGGTACAGTTCCAAGCACCTTGTGCATGTTAACTAAAAATACTCAACTCTTGAAGTAGGAGCCGCGATTCAGACGTTCTAACTTACAGAGAAGGAAGCAGACATATTTCGGGATATGCCCAAGGTCACACAGCTAGTAGAAGGTAGTGCCAGGATTTGACCCTAGGCTGTCTGGGTCCAGGGCCCACACTTAGCACTACTCCGTGCTGCCTCTTAACTCAAGAAGTTGAGTCCCGTCCCACCGCCCCGGGCCCCTTCCAACCAGATCTCTGTCCCCAAGCTGCCTTCCTTGGAGATATTTTGGAGCAGCCTCTGGTCCCGGGACTTCCCAGCCATGTCAGAGACCATGGGTTCCCCTGGTTCCTCGCCTCTGCTTCCCCTTAGACCTCTGTGAAAACCCAGCGGCTGAGCCTCAGCCCTCCGGTAACTCATCCCTCATTTGACAATTAAGAGAGAGTCAGCAGCCTCTTCACCAACTCTGCTCAAAGGCCCAAGGCTCCCTGAGACTGCGGTCCACTGACATGGAAGAGCTTTAAAAATCCATTTAGTCGCTACAGCTGAGCAACTCCTCAGCAGAGGGACCAGGGAGGGGAGTGGAGCGAGAGAGGAGAGGCCACGTCTACCTTTTAGCCCTGGAGGCCAGGACAGGCTCCCTGTCATCACCTTCTTGTCCTGATGCTACCAGCAGAGAGGCAGCTCCCAGGCTGGAGGGTCCCTTGGGGATCAGCCATTCCAGCCCCTCCTTTTATAAATGAGAAGGGAGGTTCTGGAGGTCACTCACGCAGCACAGCAGCAGCTGAGCTGGCCCCAGGGCCCCAGCCTCTAGACCCTCACAGGGTTCTGCCCCATGGGGCTCTAGACTCAAGGACACGGACTCTGGCAGCTTGGAAGCCACAGGAAGGCCTGAGGTAAGGGAGGCTCCAGTGGCGATGCTCAGGGCTTCATTTCTCTGCCAAGCAGTTCTGCCTGGAGTCAGAGCCAGAATTAACTCAAGGAAGCATGTTTAGAGCTACTGATGCCAGAGCTGGGTACAGGGTGGGGTGGGGCGACCTCTGCCAGCAGAGAAGATGAGATGGAATTTAGAACTTGCTCTGTCCCTTCCCAGCTGGGTTTCTAGAGCCCGGAGCTCGAGCCTGGTAGGCAGGAAGGAGGGCAAGGGGAACATGCTGGGCAGCTCTGCCCATCCCAGGACCCTAAAGCCAGGTGTCAGTTCAGCTCACAGGGCCCCTCCCCATCTCCTTAGAAGGTGACAGGTTCTGGGCCACCGTCCAGGCTGATGGCTGCATGAACCCCCATATGTCTCCTGCCTTCTTTCTTGAGTGACATGGGCCTGGCTAGGAGCAGCTGTGGCAGACCTGAGTGACGAGATCTCCCCACACATGCCTGTCACATGTCATTTTCTGTCGAAAAGACCTCACCATGGATGTTCCCCCGACACGACCTTCCAACAGAGGCCCACTGTGGGGAAGTGCTGTCCTGGGGACCTTCCCAAGACCTGCCCCATGAACTTTGAGCCCCCATGGGCAACACGGCCAGTGAGGACCTCCCACAGCCACCTCTATCAGATGGCTCGACCATGAGAAGCCTGTCATGTCACCTGCCATGTGAGTTGTCACCGCATACCCTTCCACCACTCATGCCCAGCCTCATGAGAATTGCCTCATGAGGTCTCACCATTTTTTGCTGTCTTACAAGACCCCCAAATAGGAGATTTCTCAGGAAAGCACCTACCTAGTCATCTGCCACCACATAAGGACCTAAAAGGAAACAGCCCAGGGAGCTGGCCAAGCCTGTCCCCGGGCAGTCCTGTGGGCAAGATCGTGCCAGCTTGGGTGGGCAGAGCCGTGGCCCACAGGTGGGAATCGGGGGAGCCACCAACCCCTGCTGGAGGCCAATGAGTAGAAAGAGGGAGGAAGGGCCAGGCACGGTGGCTCACACCTGTAATCCCAGCACTTTGGGAGGCCAAGGCAGGCAGATCACCTGAGGTCAGGAGTTCAAGACCAGCCTGACCAACATGGAGAAACCCCATCTGTACTAAAAATACAAAAATTAGCTGGGCGTGGTGGCGCATGCCTGTAATCGCAGACACTCGCAGGCTGAACCCGGAGAATCGGTTGAACCCGGAGGTTGTGGTGAGCCGAGATGGCACCATTGCACTCCAGCCTGAGCAACAAGAGCAAAACTCTGTCTCAAAAAAAAAAAAAAAAAAAAAAAAAAAAAAAAAAGCGTCAGGAAGATGGAAGTGGGGTGAGGAAGTTCCTCTCCCCAGCTTCACTCCACACAGCCCCCACCCAGCAGGTGCCTGTGCTGGCCTAGTTGGATGCAGAGACGGCTGGCCATCTTCAGATCCCCCTATTCATCCATCTGGGCCAGGATGGTCAGACGGGGGCCCAGGCTGCTCCGCCATCACTGCCTCTCTCTTCCTTTTCCAGACAATGGCTACCGGGAGTGCCTGGCCAACGGCAGCTGGGCCGCCCGCGTGAATTACTCCGAGTGCCAGGAGATCCTCAATGAGGAGGTGAGGCTGAGCCAAGCGAGGCTGCCCATATGGAAGGGGGTCAAGGGTCTCCGGCAGAGTTTTGTGCCTGCTACTTGGAGTCAGGGAGCCAGAGGCTAATGTCAAGGCCCTGTCGTAGCAAAGCCGACTGGGGAGCTCGAGCCGTTGGCTTGGAAATGGCCCATGAGCCATTGAGAGTGAGCTAGGCAAGTGGGGCACTGGGCGGGCTCTGATGGCGATGAGACGGGTCCTTGTTCCTTCCTTCCTTCTCCTCGTGCTCATTGGGCAGCCGCTTGCACTGGGCATGGGACTGTCCTGGGGGTGCAAAGGGAGACCAGACTCGATCACAGGAGTCCCACCCTTTTCCACCACTCGCGCCTGAGAGATGCATCCAGTTCCAGCCATGGGGCTGTATGGGAACCAGGGACGGGGTGTAGGTAGCAGTGCAGGTCAAAAAAGCCCTTGGAAAACCTTTTAAAATGTTAAATGTTTTTGAGTAGATGTTGCTTACACAGAATTCAGAAGGTACAAATGGGAATATAGTGTCCCCTCCCACCCCATCCCCAGCCACTGGATTCCCTGCCAGAGGCAACCGTTTTGCCAATTTCACTAATGTTCTTCCAGAGACATTCTCTGCTTTTACAAGTAATTATATATAGGTATTCTTTTTTGTTTTTACCCGAATGGTGCATATTAGTCTACACCTTGCTTTCCTCATATAATCATCTGTCTTGGAGATGGTTCCACATCACTACATAAAGAGCATCTCCATTCTTTCTGCATTTGCATAATATCACAAAATATACCATAATTTATTTTAACCAGTCTTTATTCCTAGTCTTCAGTTATTACAAATGATGCTGCAATGAATAATCTTTGAAGGGTTACATTTGGCAGAGACACAAATATATCTATCCTAGAGCTGCTGCTGCCCTCAGCCTCTCCCACTCCCTCTCCTTTTCCACCCGACGCTTTCTCCCTGGGTGCTAAGGAAGGCAGGGGTCAAAGGGCAGAAGGGGGGATACCCCGGGCTGTCTGAGGACCCAGACTTCTGAGTGTGGAAGAGACTCACCAACCTAGGCAGTCGCAAGAACCCATCAACTAAAGATCAGAGCTGGAAGGGACCTTGGAGACTCTCCCTCCCATCTTGAGGTTCCCAGACCTGCCTGGTTATAAGAATCACCCAGAGGCAGATTACCTGAGGTCAGGAGTTGGAGACCAGCCTGGCCAACATGGTGAAACCCCGTCTCTACTAAAAATACAAAATTAGCCAGGTGTGGTGGTGAGTGCCTATAGTCCCAGCTACTCAGGAGGCTGAGGCAGGAGAATCACTTGAACCTGGGAGGCGGAAGTTGTAGTGAGCCAAGATCGTGCCACTGCACTCCAGCCTAGGTGACAGAGCAAGACTCTGTCAAAAAAAAAAAGAAAAAAGAAATCGCCCAGGGTACTTCACTTGCCCAAATACAGGCTCCAGGGCCACACCCAACACCTGAGAAACACACTGTCCAAGGAGGACCTGGGAATCCGTGTCTTGAATGAGTGCCCCCGGGGAGCCTTCTGACGGGGCAAAAGCCAGAAACTCTAATCTAGCGTTACCGTTCACATTACAGACAAGGAGACTGGGGACCAGAAAAGGGGAATGAGTAACACAAGGTCATGTGGCCTGAGTGAGTCACAGCCTGGAACCCAGGGCTTTGAAGCTCAGGCTCTGCTTTGCCCACTGCCGGGTGTCTGGCGTGAAACAAAGTTAATGGAGAAAGAATCACTTTTCTCCACCTGTAGCTCCCACCCCGGCCCACATGCGTTGGTTAGCCCCACCCCTGGCCTCCAGGCCTCAAGTCACTGAGCTAATTCGGGACTCTGCTGTCTCCTTCCAGAAGCTGCAGATAGGTCAGTGCCTAGCGTAAAAGAATGATGAGTTCTTCCACGGTGCTGCTCTGGCAGGGCGGGGGCTGCCTGGATCTCAGATCCCACAGGCCAGACCTTCAGGTGGCACTCAAGGGTGGGTTGGTCAGGCCCCTGATGATCTGACCTGAGTAGAGAAAGCCCCCAGCTTGCTAAGCCCCCACCCAGAAAGTTCACCTGGAAAGCCCTGGGATTGGGAGGAGGGCTCCTCCTGGACCGGGGGAAGGAAGTAGGGTTCCAGGTTAGGAGACTTAGTTGGGCCAGAGGAGATGGCCTTGGCTGGGGGGCGGGAGTGGGCAAGACGGTTCAGGGATGCGGGACCCATAGCCTGGCACACAGTAGAGGAGGTGGGAGGAAAGGAAAGCGAGTCAGTGCTGTCGTCAGTGCCGTCGGCGGCTCAGGACCACACACCATGCCAGAAAGGTGGCGGGGAGGAGGCCCAGCCAAGGCCAGGCCGCCGGCCATAGTCTGTCACCGCTGGTCCCGGCCTCACACCCGGCACTCCGCTCTCCTGAGGAGCAGGGTGGGGTCTTTGTGGGTCACCTGTCTCTCCTGCTTTCAGTTGGCTGATGGAGACACTCAGCAGCCCCCGTTTTCTCCAGCCCCCTTCAGAGGTCCAAGGGCAGTAGGTTAGCCACCTCAGCCTGCAACGCCCACCCCTGCCAGGACAGGGGTCTCTCCCTCTCTCCAGCAGCAGGGTTAGGACAAAGAAGAGGGTGAGGAGCCCACTCTCATCAGCCCCTCTTTGCATTGCAGTGGGCACAGCACGGAACTTTCGGGGTTGGGTTTCAATGGGAACCTGCTGCGTGACCTGAGCAGGCTGCTGAACCGCACCAAGTTCCCTAAGGTGACAGCCAGGAGTTCAGATCTCTGCCTCCTGGGGATGGGAGGGTGGTGTTGGCCTATCTTGGCATATGGGGGACGTTCCATTCACCTGCCGCCCCGCCATCCCTCATCTCCCCTGTGAGGTCAGGGAACGTCCTAGTGTATACTTGGGGGAGTGACCCGCCCCCACCAGCCCACCCCTGCCTGGCTCTGCCACCTCTTTCCCCAGCAGCCCCTGCTGGCCTGGTGCCTAGCACGCAGGGTAATCAATTAATTTAATGAGCGAAAATGCCATCCCCTTCTGCCAACCCCCACCCTCGCCAGACCCCTCCCGGAACTGCAGAGAAAGTATCCAATGAATTGAGTGGCAGGTTTCTCAGCTCTGGACTTGGACTAAGCCCTAATTAAGCTCCAGCGCCCTGGGGTATTGCAGATAATGGATTCACAGAAGTCTGCCTGTGAAATGGGACTTGCGAGGGCACCCCAAGGCCAGGCACCCCGGGAGATCTGCCCAAAGCCGGCATCACCAGGGACAGGCACCCAACTGGGGAGCCTGTTGCATGCGTGGCTAGCCCTGGAATGGCACTGAGCCCCCAGCACCACCCTACATGCCCCCCTACCCGGTATCAGCACCTTCTCCCTCCACTATGTTCTCTCCCTTCCCCACCGTCCGACTCTCCCCCTCCCTGACACTTGCACACACTCCCTCCCCTTTCCCCACGCTCTGCTGAGCACAGGAGCCGGGGCTCAGGCACAGCCTGGGAGACCACACCTTGGCGGGACATGAAATGGATTCTGGGGTCTGGATTTGTGGGCCAGGGTTCACTGCTCACTGTGTGGGGAGAGGCAAGCGGTGGTTGGACCAGGGCTTCTGAACTGTGAAGGTGCTTTTTCCTGAAACAAAGCTCCGATTCTGTGGGCCTGGGGTAGGCCGTATAGCCCACTCTCCTCACCATCACTGCCAGCGTCTCCGTGTGCAGTCGCTGGGCCAGGGCCCTTCGAGGATCGAGGGGCTGGAGTGAGTGCCTGCTACGGGGCCAGAGGAGTAGCTCTGGAAGCCTCGGTGGAGAGGAGGTGCCAGAATGGAGGGAGCACGGGGGGAACTTGGAAGGGAGGTCTCATTGCTACTGTACCCGAGAGGCATCAGGACGGGTCTGGCACTGCAGCGCCTGGGACGAGGTGGTGTCCTGCAGAGAGTCCAGGGCACTAATTGCTTATTCAATTCAGGTCACCGAGGGTACAGTAGAGTGGGCTCTGCCGAGTGCCATGCTGTGCCAGCCTCTTTAGGGTGGGGTGCCTGCTGGTCTTAGGTCTCCAGACTGGATGGAGATGGAGTGCTGGTCAGGGCCCCAGGGGTGGCTAGGGATGTCCTTTGGACATCCCAGCTGCTTTGCTGTCATCGTGGCCGTCAGTCAGGGTGTCACTGGCTGTCCCTGGGGGTGCTGACTCTCCAGGAGTCACTGGCTACCTCTCAGGGTGTTCCTGGGAGTCTCTCAAAGCCTTACTGTCTCTTTAGATAATGCCGGCCAGAGCTCTGGTTGTTACTGGAGATTTCGCAGTCACTGGCTTCTGTCTGGGTGTCGCAGGATGTATGTCTCAGGGCATTGGCAGCCATCTATCAGGCTGTCTCTCCAGCTGTCTTCTCAGGCTGCTTCTCAGGTTTTGTCATGCTGATGTGGCCGATGAGAGACAGGGCTTGAACCTGGCCCAGGGAGTCACAGAGTCTTTGTCCCCCAGGAGTGGTTTGGCCGATTCTCCCTCTGAGGCTCTGTGGAGAGAAGCCCTGGTAGGCACCATCCTCCCGACAGGAGGTCCCCTGAGGCTCCTGGGCCCAGAATGGAGCAAGACCGCCCCAGAGGATGCCTCTACTTTCAGTTCCTGCTTGTCCCCCAAGAAATGTCCCAGGGGGCTGGGTGCAATGGCGCACACCTGTAATCCCCACACTTCGGGAGACAGAGGCGGGCAGATTGCCTGAGCTCAAGAGTGTGAGACCAGCCTGGGCAACACGGTGAAACTCCATCTCTACCAGAAACACAAAAATTAAGCCAGGCGTGGTAGCACATACATGTGATCCCAGCTGCTCGGGAGGCTGAGGCAGGAGAATCACTTGAACCCAGGAGGCAGAGACTGCAGTAAGCCAAGATCCCACCACTCCAGCCTGGGTGACAGAGCGAGACTCCATTCCCCTCGCCCCCAAAAAAGAAACGTCCCAGGGAAACAGGGAAAAGAGGAATTTCAATGCCAGGCAGACTCAGGTTCTAGATACATGGCGTGGCCGAGTATTCAGCCTCTTCCATGGGAAGAACGGGGATGAGAGGGGCAGTCTCCAGGGGCAGCTGTGGGAAAGAAAAGCAGTGGTGTCTGCGGAGCTCCTGGCACAGGGCTCGGCATACAGCAGGTGCTTAATAGATGACTCCTCCCCACTCCATACCCAAGGGCCTGGTGTGGCCTGACTCAGGAGCGAGGCAGGGCCCTGGCAGGTGACAGTGAAGGGTCTCCCTGCATGCTGTGCTGGTCCCACCCAGCCTGGGCCTGTGAACAAGGCTGGGGTGTCGTGCCACACACGGCTCCACGCATGCTGTCATTACCCAGGGGCTTCTCAGCATGGATTTGTGGGAAATTTAATAAAAGGATATTAAATATCAGCTCCAGACAGCCCGTGATATGTGCATATATTCCGGAGCCTCTGGACTGGGGCCTCTGCCGCCAGGTACTTAGAGATCCTCCCCGCTTGCATGGGTGGGTGATGGGTACCCTCCCATCGCTTCCCCTCTCTGTCTCTCTCTCTCCTGCCTTCGTTCACATCTCCCTGGATCCCAGCCCTTTGGAGGCTGGAGTTGCTAATGTGATTTCCTACCGTGTTCCAGGAAGCCTCTGCCTGGAAACCAGCTCCAGGAACAGTTTCTGTAGGAGCCTCTGGAGCTGAGAGGTTCCCCAGTGAGGATGCCCCTTCAGAAGGGCCTTGGTGGCCTAGCAGAGCTGGACATAGGGCCTTGGCTCCTCCTGGGATGCCTGGTAGAAAGGGCTGGACTTGGTCTCTGGTTTCGCGGGTTCTGTAATTCTGACAGGAAGGCTCGTGAAGGGCCAGGAGCTCCTTGGTGGCTCTGAGAGGATGATGAGGGCCGTTGTGAGCTCACCGCTTCTCGGCACTTGCACTTACCCATTTCTGTGCCTCGTCATCTGTCAGCCCCACCCCAGAGCCCGGAAATGGGGAGGAATGGAGGTGCTGCCGGGGACCCCTCCCTTCTCAAAGCCACCTGCTTTCCAACACCTGTCCCTCCTTCCTTCACTCACACACTGCTTCGGAGGTCTACTGCGTGTCACGCTCTGCGTTTTCAGGCCCTGCTTGCTTCTTGGGACCTGTAAGAGTGTGGGTGGGGGCTTTGCTCTTGGGCAGGGATCTGCAGAGAGCTGGGCACGGGGACTGGCCAGTCCTGTGTGATGGGCTGGGGACCTGGTTCAGCCTTCGCATCTTGCCAGTTCCCACATGCAGGCAGGAGGTGGTTTTGACGTTGCTCGACCTCCGGTGCATCTGCAAAGCCTCTGTGCTGTTCCTACAAAATAAAGCCCAGATGCCCTTCCCGCTCCCGACGGGGTTGCCCTGGCAGTTTAAGACGATAACAGATTTGAAAATCCTCTGTTAAGTGGGAAAGCTTCATCACTCCTGGAACTTAAGATTGCTGGAAAGAGGAGGGCAGTGACCTCACCGGTATATTTAATTCATTAAGAAATAAAACGAGGAATGTGTTCCAAGCCCGGGAGAAGATCCGGCTGACTCTGCACAGATCCTGCTGGTCCAGGGATGGGGAAGGCCCTGGGAAGTGAGTTATGGAGACTATTTTCTGTGGTTTCTGCTGATTTCTAAGCAGCTGCCTGGCCCTTGTCACTCACAGGAGCAGGCTGCATAGCAGCAGGAGGGGTTTAGGGGCGCCGAGAAGATGGTGACTCGGTTCAGAAACGGGTGAAGAGAAATCCCAGGAGAACGGCGTCTCTGCAGCTGAGAGGTCCACCTGGTGTTCTGACCGGGCGGAAGCATGGGTAGATGTGGGCGTGAGGGCACCCCTGTGAGCCGGCCACATGCACTCATGCGCTTGGAGGGGAGTCCGTGTGGAGTGGGGAATCCTGCGTGATGTGGAGATTCAGTTCAACACAACACTCAGTAGTGAACAGAGCACAGGATTCAGGGACAGACAGAGCGTCAAACTGGATGGCTGCTCTCACGTGAAGCCTGACCAGCAGCAGGCACTCAGGAAGTGGGGATGGCCCTTGAGATCATGCCCCGCTCCATCCCAGCCACCCCCAGGCAATGTCCTCCCACAGCAGCTCACATCCAGTGGGCGAAAGGGCTGAGCTGTGCAGGAGCCTCACCTCTGCCCCTCTCTCCTGCTCCAGAAAAAGAGCAAGGTGCACTACCACGTCGCAGTCATCATCAACTACCTGGGCCACTGTATCTCCCTGGTGGCCCTCTTGGTGGCCTTTGTCCTCTTTCTGCGGCTCAGGTGAGAAGACCCCAGCAGTGCCTCCTCCTGTCCCCAGGCCCTAGAGCAGGAACAGGGCGGAGAAGCGAGAGACAGGAGCAGCTCTGGGTCGGGGTGGGGGTTGCTGGGAGGGGTGCAGGGGCTGGCTTATCCAGGAGGCTCAGGTCTCTGCGAACCTCTGGCAGAGCCGCTCTTCCCCCTCCCCAGTAGCTGCTAGAATGGTGGGGAGGGACAAAGTTTGTCTTGTGTCACCCACTCCCAGGCTGGGCTGCTCCCACTGGGGTGACCAGGCGGATGGAGCCCTAGAGGTGGAGGCTTCATGGAGTGGTGCCCCCTTTTCAGGTTCAGAGGTGCCTGGGCCCCATCACTACTGCCAAGGATGCAGGTGGCAGAGCTGAGGATGGGGACAGGTGGGATCAGGAGCCGAGCATCAGGGCTGGAGGCTGGGAGCAGGGCTAACCCCTGTGACTGTCCGTCCTGGAATGGCAGGGAGTGGAAGGCACCCCCAGGGGAAGGAGGCACCCCCAGGAAGCCAGCTGCCCCGGCCCATGGAGCACAGGCTGCATGACAGGCTCTGCGTGGGGCTTACGTCTGGGTGGGCTGCAGGCAGGAAGGGCTCCATGAGGCATCAGGAGAGCCTTGCTGTCACCTCCCCGTGTCACTTGGCCAGGCTGCCTCACCCTGTGCCTCAGTTTCCTCATGTACACCTCTGGGCGAGGGTGATGCGGACAGCCTGCCCCTCATCCTCTCTCCTGTCACTCCATCACCTGCCTGCCTTGCTGTGCCAGGAGCATCCGGTGCCTGAGAAACATCATCCACTGGAACCTCATCTCCGCCTTCATTCTGCGCAACGCCACCTGGTTCGTGGTCCAGCTCACCATGAGCCCCGAGGTCCAGCAGAGCAACGTGGTATGTCCTGGCGGGGACGTGGGGAGCAGGCCCGGCCAAGCCCAGGTCAGAGGTGGGCCTGCCCTGCAGAGGAGGGGCCCACAGAACAGGAGTGGGATCCCAGGTATGCCCTGTCCTGCCCAGGGGAGGCCCAGGCCCAGGGCTTGGTGCTGCCCCTGCCCCCATCATCATCTCCGGTTGGGGGTGGGGTGGCAGGCCTGGTGCAGGTTGGTGACAGCTGCCTACAACTACTTCCACGTGACCAACTTCTTCTGGATGTTCGGTGAGGGCTGCTACCTGCACACAGCCGTCGTGCTCACCTACTCCACTGAGCGGCTGCGAAAGTGGGTGTTCATCTGCATCGGCTGGGGTGAGCTGCGCAGCACCCCCCGCCCCGAGGCCTGGGCAGTGGCGGCCGCCGGGCTGCCCTCCCTTGCCCAGACTCAGGCCAGCAGGCTGGGGGGCCTGAGGGATAGAGGCCTTGTTGGGGTGGTGGGGTGCATGTCATAGCCCTCTGCTCCTCTTGGGGGTGTGGGCAGTAGGAGCACCTTGAAGGAGGCTTGTGAGTTTGAGATCCACTCCGGGTAGCCCCAGGGCCCCTGGAGCCTCCCAGCCCCTGATGAGGGCTCTGTGACAGCCCATCTCTCCCCCAGGTGTGCCGTTCCCCATCATTGTGGCTTGGGCCATTGGGAAGCTGTACTACGACAATGAGAAGTAAGTCACCTTCTTTAACTTCCTGACCCCAAGGTTTAGGCTCCCAGCCCAGCTTGGTGACATTCCCCAAGGGCCTTGGGCCATGCCAGCTTTCCTGTCAGGACCATGGTTTTCTACATCTATAAAGGGAGGGATTTGGGGGCTGCACTCAATCGGAGGGTCCCTGCCTGTGCTCTGCCTAGGTGGGGCTGGACAGGCAGGACCCAGCCTCCTCTGTCTGCTTCACAGGAAGCAGCCTGGAGCCAGACTGCCCCGGTTCAGAATCATGGCTCCATCATTAAATAGTTGTGTGACCTTGCCCTGATTACTGTGGCGTGCCTCAGTCTCCTCATTTGTAAAATGGATATGCTATTGCCTCAAAGGGCTATTGTGGGGTGATATGAGTTAATCTGTATTAAGCATTTAGAATAGTTCCTGGCACATAGAGCAAATGCTGTATAAATGTGTTCTATTTGTATTAAGACGTCTTAATAAAAGATTCTGCCGATTTAATAGAAATGGACCCGGATGATCTCAGAGGCTCCTTCCAGCTCTGAAGTTCTTTGGTTCCTTATGAAACAGACTCAGAAGTTTTCAATTGTGCCTGAAGAGTTGATTTCTGCTGCAGTGCTTCTCAGTCTCGCTCGCATTAAAATCACCTGGGATGCTTCAAAAAGTACCAGTGCCCAGGTTCCGCCCCCAGAGAGCTGGCTGTAATTGGTCTGGGGTGTGGCCTGGCACCCAGAATTCTTGAAAACTGCCCAGGTGATTCTAATGTGCAGCTAAAATTGAAAACCACTGCGGGGGCGGGGGGGCAGAAAAGGTGGACATGGATAGCAGTGGAGCCCCAGGATCTTCGTTGCCAAAGTGTTCCCAGAAACCTGTGTGACCTGGAGTCCAAGTGGCCTCCATCACAGTGACAAGCCCTCTCCTCCCCCACGGAGGGAACCACTGGGCTGGACGAGGAGCCTGGAAGATTATCTTGCATGTTTGTGAGGGTGACTCCTTCCTGACTCAGGCCCAGCTGGCTCTCACTGCATTTGCACAGCCGGAAAGGTGGGGGCCCGGCCTGGATGGGAGGCCTGGGTGCCACAGCAGGAGCACTGTAAATCCTGAGTGGTGGCGCCTGCAGATGTGTGTGTGTGAGTACAGGAGGTGGTGGGGAAACTGGTTTCAAAAAATGCTTGGGGCCAGGTAAGGTGGCTCATGCCTATAATCCCAACAGTTTGGGAGGCCAAGCGGGCAGATCATTTGAGCTCAGGAGTTCCAGACCAGCCTTGCCAACATGGTGAAACCCCACATCTACTTTTAAAAAATATACATAAATTAGCAGGGTGTGCTGTTGCATGCCTGTAGTCCCAGCTACTCGGGAGGCTGAGGTAGGAGAATCTCTTGAACTCAAGAGACAGAGGTTGCAGTGAGCTGAAACTGCACCACTACCATCCAGCTTGGGCAACAGAGTGAGACTCCACAAATCTCAAAAAACAAAGCAAAACAAAAACTGTTTGAGCTAAAGGAGAAAGGGGGTCTGAGCGGCTCTGAAGCCCCACCTGGTGGTGAGAATCCAACACTGCAATAGAGAGGATCTGGGTGTGAGAAAGCAGGAAAACCTTGCCGGCCAGAGGTCCAAGGACTGGACTGGCCCTCAGAAGCTGTGTTTGGCTGGCATGGTGTTTTCTGAAAACTTCATTTTGTAGCCAACCTTTAAAAAGTCCCAAGGTTTTATATACATATCTCAATTTCTGGCTTATGAGATCTAGCCACTGGGGGTTCATACCCACAAGGCTTCCAGTTTGTCTGGTCCCCAGGCCTCCCTGGAGCTTGCTGGAGGGATGCTCGGGAAAAAGCAAAGCGATCACCTCCTGCAGCAGCTGGAACCTGTGCACGTGTCCTCTCAAGGTCGTTTAGGCTGCGATTAGACAGATTCAGGCCCACTGGGTGACAGGTGTGGTGCCACTCCCACCAGCAGTCCCCCAGAGGCCATGCTGGGCCTCAGCCACAGCTAGGGGACTGTGAAGGGGAGCTGAAGACACAGGCTGTGTTGGGCCGATGCTCATTCCCGGCCACTCAGTCTTTCGCACTGTCCCCCTCCTGCCCCTGTGCTTGCTTCCAACTTTGCATGTCATCGCAGAGGATGCTGTCCATTCTGCAGATGGGACGACTGAGGCATAGCAGTGGAATCAAGTGGCTTAACCTTCTGCCAGGGTTGGAATTGGGGTGTCTACCTCCTGGCCTCCAGCCCCAGTCCTGTCCTGGCCAAGCACTGTCCCTCCCCATGCCACCAAGGCGGACGCAAATGACCCCTCCTCCCTTTTCCTCTGTGGCCTTCTAGGTGCTGGTTTGGCAAAAGGCCTGGGGTGTACACCGACTACATCTACCAGGGCCCCATGATCTTGGTCCTGCTGGTAAGAACCTGGGTAGGGGCGGGAAACAGAGCCCAGTGGGGAGGGGCAGTCAGTGCTAACTGTGAACAGAAAGGACCCCTCTGCCTAGAGGTGGGGGCCACGCAAACAGGGGGCATAGGCTGGGGATGTGCAGGTGCTCATGAGGAGGAGGGAGAACAGCAGGAGCACTGAGGCAAGAGTTGAGAAGGCTGCATTCCAGCCTCTTGCACACTCCGGCCCACTGGTGTGCTCAACTTGCAGATCAATTTCATCTTCCTTTTCAACATTGTCCGCATCCTCATGACCAAGCTCCGGGCATCCACCACATCTGAGACCATTCAGTACAGGTAACCGGGTGCCACCTCCCCCAGGCCTGGCAGTCCTTCCTGATGAAACCCTGCTCCCCATGCCTCTCACATGCCAGAGACCTGCCACTCCCTCCCCCGACCTGGCTCTGTCCTGGGGTGGGCTGTGACTCCGAGCCTCCCCACCTGCCCCACCCCAGGAAGGCTGTGAAGGCCACTCTGGTGCTGCTGCCCCTCCTGGGCATCACGTACATGCTGTTCTTCGTCAATCCCGGGGAAGATGAGGTATCCCGGGTCGTCTTCATCTACTTCAACTCCTTCCTGGAATCCTTCCAGGTACAGCCCTGGAGAGCCACATTGGTGCCTCCTTGGGTGGGGATTCTCCCAAGCAGAGGCCTGGAGGGCAGGAGGCTAGGGAGAAGCAAGGGGCAGCCCAGAGGCTGGGTGGGCGACATCTGCAGCCAGGCTCTGACGCCTCTTCTCTCCTCCCCAGGGCTTCTTTGTGTCTGTGTTCTACTGTTTCCTCAACAGTGAGGTGAGGACCACAGGGACCTGCCTCAGGGCTCAGGGTGGCGAACCCTGTGGGGGCCGGAGATTGTCTAGAGCCTTCTGCTCCCCTCCCAGGGCTGGCTCTCTCTTCCCTCCTCCTCCTAGGAGGATGCTGCTGGGAGCCCCAGGCCTGCCCCTCCCACCTGTCCACTCCCACAAGACAGCCCCTCCTTTGCTCTCAGAGGCAGCTGGCACCAGGCCAGAACCCAGGACTCCAGTCTCCTTGATGAGCCTGTGAGAACCAGGAAGGGCGGAGCCCTGGGCAGGGGATACGTGTGGGTTGAGGGCAGGGAACCTTCAGGGCAAAGGCCTTCATGAGAGCTGGAAAAGGATGCCCCTTCCCCGGTGCACTTTAGAACCCCGTTCCGACAAGCATGCAAAGCAGCATGTTAAGGGTGTGAGTGTTGCCCCCCTGAGGACCTCCGTGTACTCAGCTCGCCTGCACAGCTGCCTGAGGCAGCCCAGAGGAGGGAGGGGCTCCTGAGCCCCAGGCTGATGTTGTGCTCTTCCCTGTGACCGCAGGTCCGCTCTGCCATCCGGAAGAGGTGGCACCGGTGGCAGGACAAGCACTCGATCCGCGCCCGGGTGGCCCGCGCCATGTCCATCCCCACCTCCCCAACCCGTGTCAGCTTTCACAGCATCAAGCAGTCCACGGCAGTCTGAGCTGGCAAGCCACGGAGCAATCCCCCAAGAGCTGTGGCTGGGGACATGACGGCCAGGCTCCTGGACCACCCTGTCTGTGGAGGCAACCTGTTAGATCTCATGCCCACTCCCCCAGGAGCAGCTGGCACTGACAGCCTGGGGGTTCCACTCTCCCCCTGCAGCTGTGCAGTACTCTAGCTCATGAGTGGAAAGTTGTCTACAGGACTGGGCCGGGCCCGGGGCCTCTGGCTTCCCTGCCCGATCCTCCCTGGAGAAGGGACGTGGGGATGAATGGACATGTGGCGCGGGACACCCACAGCAGCTCGCGTGTCCCTCCAAGGCTGTCTTCTCCCAGAGCACAACGCCAGCCTACTGGGGCCTGGGGCTGCCCTCGGCGTCTGTGGGGAGGCTGTTCGCTGTCCCAGGGCATCATGGCAACTTGTGACAGCCTCTGACTCACCATGATGATGCCTCTGAACCTCGACGATGCCTTCCAACACCACTGGGAACCAAGGGTCCTTGCTCAGGAGCCCTGGAGATAGAAGTCAGGTGTCATCGTCAGACATGGGGCCACAGCACTAGTCACCCTCCAGGCCTCCAGAACCTCACCGGCACTGTGGCACTGCCACCAGCAATGCCCTGCCTCGCTGCCTTCACCCTGAACATTTACTACCCTGCAGGCCAGGCCAGCTTCCCCTCACTTCACCCTCACCCCACAACCATCACCCCCTGCCCCAGGGTTTCCTCTTTTGTGAGAAGATGGGGGCTGAAGGGATCAGAGTGGCCTGTGAGCAAGAGCCAGGCGTGTCTGAGCCCCGGCATCGGGGCCAGAGCTTGTGGCCCCAGATGGCCTCTGGGGCAGGACCACTAGCTAAGCAAGCGAGGAGAAGGCCCTTGCCCAAGTGGCTGTTGGGACAGCGTGTGCTTACACTCCAGGCGTGACTGGCCCAGCACCCACTGAGCTGCCCATGTCCGGAGGGACTGGACAGCCAGAGCAGGGTTTGGGGGGCACTAGGAGATGAGGGTGTCGGCTGTGAGGTGGGTGGCTGGTATAAATAATACTTATCTTTTCAACCAGCATTTGTGAAGCCTGGACTCCACAGGGGGCTGGATGGAGAGGGTGTGTCACAGAAGAGGGGCCATTTCCCAGCTTCCGGGGGCTGCTGTGTTGCTGGGAAGCCTGCCCACCTCTAACCCCAGCAAGGATGATGCCAGGAGAGCCCCTGAAGGCTGGGAGAAGGGTGAAGGCAGGAGGGAGCGCTTCGAGGAGCAGGTGGCTCTGGCCAGGGCCCCTTAGTTAGGGACACTCACTGTGAGGAGGTGAATTGGAGGGAGAGGAGGACCCCGGTGAGGGATGCAGAGGAGGGAGAGCATGGGTGAGGGGAAGGAGCAGCTGGAACAAGGGACACGAGTGTGTCCCAGCCCCAGGCAGGAGCTGAGCTGAGAAGCGGGAAGTGGAGTTAGGACGCTGGGCACTGGACAGGCCATGAGCATAGCTGTCTCCACCTGCGCCCCGCAAGAGGCCGTCCCTGAGACCCTGATCTTTCTTGTGTGAACCTGAGGGAAGGGGAGTACAGGGAGGGCGACAGGGAGTGAAGCCAGGCAAGGAAGGCGAGCAAAGGTGGGGGTGGAGGCGGACGCAGTGGCCTTCGGGCAAGAGCCAGGTATGCCCCAGCCCCTGCCAGTGCTGCTCTGAGGTGGGCAGCGCACTCCTGGGCTCCCCTGGACTGCCCACTTCAGTGCCCCCAACTAGGGCAGGGCTTGCCACCCTGAGTGGCCTCTGGTGCAGGACCAACACTCCAGCACTGTTGTGGGCGCCTGGAGCTCCCTTCTACTGGGGAAGCCCTCCTTCATCCCAGTCGAGGGGGCGAGGGAGCTGGGTGTTTATCCCGAGGGCTGAGGGCTGCTCCCAGGGGAGCATTCCCACATCTGCATGGCCACAGAGAGTTCCAGGCACAGCAATGTGCAGGTGGGTGAAAGCCAGTGTGTCTGTATCGGAGGGGCAGGGGGTATGGGTGGGGCACTGGAACACTAACCAGGAAGGAGGGCCCCATGGGTGGGGGGCGTGTATGCACACATGCACCCAGGCACACACAAGAGCTCACGGTGTGAGGATGCCAGGAACAGACAGGTGACACAGTGCCAAGAGCCCCAAAGCTCCTGCTGAGAGAGGGCAGGTCTCACTGGGAGAGCCTGGGCCAGAGGGTAGCTAAGGATATTCTCGAAGGCCCTATGGAGTACTCCGCTCCACCGCTTCTCCAACTCTGTGCCCTGAAGTAGAGAGATGGGGCGGGGGACCCTGGGAACACCATGACAGAGGTAGGCTGAAGAGTTCCAGAGCAGCTTGGGGAGGTATGGTGGGGAGCGGAGAGAAGCTGCCTGGAGAGACCAGAAGTGACCTGAGTCTCTAGTGGCCGCAACAGAGACAGCTTCCTGACTTTCACCCAGTGAACGGGGAAAGGTGAGAAGGCAAGGCTTTCCCCAGACAACTCTGGTGGGGATGGGATGGGAGGGCGCACCCCGGGTGGAGGAGTCAAAAAGGCAGGGGTTGGGGAGACGGGGAGGAGACAGCACAGACAAGGTGTGCACAAGCCCAGCCAGGCCGCACCCCGCTTTCCTGCATGGGCCTCCTGGTTGATCTCGCTGCCAGGCACCCTCTGGGCACCTACCGTGCACTCAGCAGTGTGCTGGGCGGTGGATGAGTGGGAGGTGAGCAGCCACCCCAGGGGGATCCCAGGGACCCCAAGAAAGCCCAAAGCTCAGAGTCTCTGGCTATGGAAAGCCACCAAGAGGACAGCTCGAAGACAAGGCGAGGGGTCACAGGAGAAGCTGGAGGGAACCACTGGGCAGGCAGATGGAATCTGAGGGCAGAGCAGCTGCGGGGCACACCTGGGAACATCTGAGCCTCAAAACCTGCAGCCCAGAAGCCCACAATTCTACCTCCCAGGGCAGACGTCCGCTCTGGGCTTCGGTCCCTTCAGAGAAGGCAGCCCTGAGACCAGGCATCTGGGCCATTCTGCTCATGTTCCACTTGGGGTAGGGAGGCCCCTCTAGGAGTGGGCAGGATGTGGTGAGCCCACAAACACACATGCAACTACACAAAGTAGGGGAGCCACTGGGGTCCTCCAAGCTGCAATGGTGGGGAGGTCACTGGGGGCCCTCCAAGACCCAGAATACCTCATGCCAGGAAGAATTTCTCTCCCTGCCATGCCCAAAGGCTGCGGTACCCAAATGCTGCCCCCACCTAAGCCCATTTCTCCTTGACACCCTCCCTCATGGGCACAGAACAGCAGTGGAGGAAAAGCCCTGCTCACCTGGGTGCCGTTCCGGCCCTCTCCCGTCCCTTAGTGTGACAACACAGCCCCTGCCCAGCGGTCCTCGGCCTCCCTTCCAGGCCTCCGTCTCTGGTCCCCTGCTACTGATGGCTCAACTGTCCTGGGACCAGGACTAGATGTGGAGTCAGATCTGGGAAAACCATGTGTTCGGAGGGAGGAATCCACAGAATAATACCTTCACTGTGGGGATTGTAGATTACTTTGCCATCCACAGACACCTTTACACCATTTGTCCTCTGATTCTCAGCCCACAGACGTAGTAACTCACCTATTTTGCAGCCAGAGAAACAAGCCTGGCAGCTCCCCTGAAATTGAAGGTCTGGTCCAAGTGCTCTTTTCACCCCTCGGTGAACAGAAGTCTTTGGGGCTTAGAACCAACGAAAAGCCCTGTGGCAAGACGGCAGCAAGGAGGCCTCAGGGCCTCAGCCGATCTGGGGCATGCCCCACGTGGAGATGGGACCTCTCTAAAGATAGCTTCACCACGTCCAGCAGCTGAGCCCAGCTGGGTGGGAGCAATGGGGGTTCCGTGGATCCAGCATCTCCTTCCCCAGCTTCCCGACATCCTCCACTCCTTAAAATGCTGCTGAACTTCAGACAGCGCAGCCTGGGCCACCCTCAGCCATGGTGGGCCTCCCTGCACCCCCCCAGGGAGAGTGCCACTGGCCTGCAGCCCACGGCGATCTCAGAACCTCCTTATCCAAACTGCCAACTGACCTCAATCTCAGCTGCCCACATTTGCCTCAAACACAGAGGGGAACACTTTCTACAGTTATGCTAACAGCAACACTGGTCATTATTGATTGTTTACCAGGCCTCCATGCTGCTAAGCCCCTCACATGTTAATCTCATTGACTCTATACTGCCCTATGAGCCAGGGCTGCTATCCCCATTTAACAGATATGGCAAATAAAGCCCAGAGAGGTTAAGATACCTGCCTGATAGCACCCACGGCTGGATGAAAAGCCAGGGAGGCCACACTAGGCTTCCAGGAAGCTTAACTCCTAGGCAGTGGGAGTTGTTACTGAGTCTGTCCTCCCAGACCCACTGCCCCTTCCAATCCCCTCCCCAGGGAAATCCTTCCATCCCCAGCCTGTGGTCAAACAGCATTCAGAGATGAGCTCGCTAAAGGAATCGGAGCCAGCAGAGCGTGGGCCCCAGGCAGCCCACTCCCCAAACCCAGCCCCGAGCCAGCTCTAGCTGCCAGTCTCCCGACCCCAGCTCCATCCCAGCTCTACCTCAGAGCATCACCCCCAACGCCTGCCCTCAGCTCACCAACCCCTTCAGGTCCTGCTGGCAGCCCAGACTCAAGCAATGCCCGGACCACGTACATTTGTATGTTGGGAACACCAATGAGACCGTCATTGGAGATAATGCCGGAGACCGCCTTTAGCCACCGACAGCAACCCTACCAGCTTCTGTCTCTCCGAGGGGTCCTGGATTCATCCCTCTGCCCAGTCTCACTGCCCACTGGGCCAAGGCAGGTGGGGGCAGAAGCAGGGGTGAGGACCTCTTAGGTGCCTGAGGAGCCCAGGTTGGGGGCACAGCAGGCATAAGCTAGGGTGAGGGTGCATGGGGGCACAGTAAGCATCAGCTAGCGTGGGGGTGCGTGGGGGCACAGCAGGCATCAGCTAGGGTGGGGGTGTGTGGAGGCACAGTGGGCATCAGCTAGGGTGAGGGTATGTGGGGGCACAGTGGGCATCAGCTAGGGTGGGGGTGCATGGGGGCACAGTGGGCATCAGCTAGGGTGGGGGTGCATGGGGGCACAGTGGGCATTAGCTAGGGTGAGGGTGTGTGGGGGCACAGTGGGCATCAGCTAGGGTGAGGGTATGTGGGGGCACAGTGGGCATCAGCTAGGGTGGGGGTGCATGGGGGCACAGTGGGCATCAGCTAGGGTGGGGGTGTGGGGGCACAGTGGGCATCAGCTAGGGTGAGGGTGTGTGGGGGCACAGTGGGCATCAGCTAGGGTGGAGGTGCATGGGGGCACAGTGGGCATCAGCTAGGGCGAGGGTGTGTCGGGGCACAGTGGACATCAGCTAGGGTGGGGGCCACGGGGGCAGCAACCAGTGGCCTGCCTGGCTCACTCTCATCACAGGGGAGCGGGGAGGGAATGGATGATGATCCACTCTAGAACATGCAGTGGGGAAGGTACTGGGCAGGGCAGCAAGGGCAGGTGAGCTGGGCCCTTTCCCACCCTTCCTGGGACCTGCTGCCCGGGGTCTGCTGCCCCTGCTGCCCTGTGTGATAAAGATAAATGTTCCAGGGGCACTTAGGTCCTCAAGTGGAAGGCAGAGACATTGCCGTAGCCTGCTCTAGGCAGCCACCCCAAGAGCCCAGGCCATAGTTGAGGGGGCAGTAAGGAGGGGAGTGGGGGGAATTTGCAGGGAGCAAAGACACAGAGGTCAAGGGTACCCTCCAGGAAAGGGGTTGAATCTGGAGGCCCGTGGAGGTGGGAAGGGTGGCAGCGCTGAAGTCTTGGAGCAGGATTGCAGCCTGGAAGCAGGCCATGGCCCCAAGGGGCACTCATGTGAAGGCACTGACCAGGGCTCCAAGTGGCCACTGGAAGAGTGATTCCAGGGCCGATGGATGGGGTTGGGTACAGGGATGGGGACCTGGGGAAGCGGTGATCAGACAGACCTGCGAAAGCCTTCTGCGAGCGGGATCCTAGGCAGCACCTTGGTGCACTGTAACCAAGCGAGCTAGAAGGAAACGCCACGCTCTGAGTTCAAATTATGAGTCCTTCATTCA